CTAGGAGACATGGTTAGGGGAATTAATAGGGCCTGGTGTGAGGAGGAGAGTCCTAGGTAGCCCTAGGTGAGCTGGCATGTTTGGACCTTAATCTTTAGAGACATGATACCCCAAGTAATAAGGTGTTGAGGAGAGTACACACACCATTATAGATATAATGTACATTGCACACATATACATAAGTGTATATATCATTATATAATATAGGTATATATGAATATATAGTCATTTTTTGTGTACATGAAAATTTTAATAATAAAAATTAAAGGAAAATACCCAATCACGGCTCACTTGTTACAGTGTCACCTTTAATTTCCCTCTAGCCTAACAGGATGTTGTTACGTGGACATCAATCTTCCAGCCCCTGTGTGGGAACACAATGCCACTGTAATTAAGCACGTATCTCCCGCCCAGCACACAGAGATATCTATGATGAGTCTGTGATATAAGACCAAATCAGAAAGACTTCCAGTAGAGTTAGAGAAAGGATTAGATTTACTACTTTGTTGATTTAATCAAGTCAGAAGGCCACCAGAGAAATTTGAGTATACTAAAGATAAGAATGAAAACACGATTAGGCCAGAGGAGATGACTTTTCCAAAGATAAAGGCAATCACTTTAAAACCGAGGGTGATATCTCTCTTGTCTTCCATCTATAACAAAGCAAGTGTGTCGTTGTGTGTTTGTTCTGCTTGGCTGTCTTCCATTATCCTCCTGCCTCACTCTGGTCTGCTGTCGGGACCTGCTATGGGGTCATACAGAACACAGCTTCAGTCTCATGGAATTAGCACTGTCTGCTACAAGCGCAGTGAGGACTGGCTCCATCTTTTCCCTCATCTGAGCCCTGGCGCTTGACCGAGGGTGGTCTTATCAAACTTGCCCAGGTCAGTACCAGCTCTGTCTGCATGTTTCTACGCACACTGTTTAAACTCTCTGCTCTTTCATTTGTCAGTGACACAGCGGAGTAGCCACCGTGGTACCAGTCTAGACGAAGACGGATCAATTGAGTCATAATTCAGCCACCTCAGTATCTGGTACACCACACAACCCAAGTATCCTTAACTCAAATCCAAGATCTTCCAAAATCTGAAACATTTCAGAGCACCAACATGACGCTACAAACAGAAAATTCCACACCTGACTACACGTGATAGTTCAGTGTCAAAATACAGGCACGGGAGACTGGAGAGATCACTCAGTGGTAAGTTAAGAGCACTGGCTGTTCTTCCAGAGGACCAGCACCCACACGGCAGCTTACAAGTGTCTGTTACTCCAGTTCCAGGGTATCCGACACCCTCATACAGATACACTGTATTTTTTGCAGGCAAAACACAAATGCACATAAATAAAAAATAAAAAAGAGGTTAAGAAAATATATAGGCATAGAACCAAGTTTATTTAGCCTTCCTAAGAAGGGACAATACCCATTATCCCTGTCAGTTGAAATACATAAACTCTTTCATGCACAAAATTATTTGCAACATTGCATAAACTACTATCTACCTATGTGTATAAAGTGTGTATGAAACAATTGAATTCCATGCTCATAATCGATCCTCATGATATCACATGTTTATACAAACATTCTATCCCTCATCCTCCAGTATCCAAAACATGAAACTCCTGGTCTCAAGAACTTGGATAATGAAGCAATAAGTTCAATAAGAAGCAATAAGTATTATATACTACCACCGCATGGTGATCAGAAAGAAACCCAGGCTGACAGAGAAAGAAGGAAAATGGGTCTCATAATATGGTTCTCAGTGATCCAGCTTCATAGTCAATGCTCAGGAAATGTGTGGAAACCGTCCTGAGTTGAAGTTGCATTGTCTGCGCTGAGAAGTTTGATGGCCTGGTGCGGTATTTTATCTCCCCTCCTGCCTTAGAATGGGGACCAATGAGCACACTGGGTTTGGGGGCTTGAGACATTTTGCTGGTACCCCCGAGAAGTGGAATTGATTTAGCTGGCATGTTTTGAACCTGAACTATGGTGACAGAATTTGGCCCTGAAGTGGACATGCAGTGGTGAGAGCTCTGTCTCTAATCCCCCACTGTCCTCAGGCCCTTCCCGTGAAGGACAGTACGGTTCCTGAGCTGGTGGAGGTGGCCCTTGTGCTTCCTGCTGCTCTCTCTTCCGCAGAGAAATGTGTCAAACTGAGACGTCCAGTCCCAAAGTCAGATACATAAAGCTGCCTCTGAAAGTCACGCCTCCTGATAATTACAACTATACTTTAGCATATAAACATCACTAGACAACCAATTCCCCCACCAAATACCTTAAATCTTAAAATTTATGTTTATTTTATATCTGCAGCCATATAATGCCTGAACTTGACCAGACTTGTAATTTGGGATGAGATAATTGACTTAAAAAAAGATACATTTTCATACTGAAAATATCAATTATGCTAATAATAAACAATGTTCCATCTTGAAGCTTCACCTAACTTCATGTGACATGTCAGTTTAAACACAGACCTACCACAGAGATTTATTCAGTGTCTCCAAGGGGGGGAAAAGGCACCCAGCTACTTAGCTGCAATATACAATTTTTATCATATGCAGAATTGTACAAAATGCATAAAATTACCTTTAGATTATGTGTATAATGAAACGAAAATGTTCCATGTTTGTCTTTTTTAATTATTTTATTTTGAAAGTTTCTAAGATCACTCATGAGGTCCTGTAATATTTTGGTGTGATAGACTAAAAAAGCAAAAAAAAAAACCCACAAACAAACAAACAAACAAAAAGCCACCACCACCACCACCACCAACAACAACAAAAACACCCTGTAGAGTCATTAAAAGGTTTACTTATAAAAATAGATAAAATGAAATTGAAAAGGGCTAGAAATAAATAGAAATAAAGGAAAATAACAATGCTCTTTGAGAATTCAAAATAGCTTAACACAAACATTCATGGCCATGAACTTTATAAATTTCTCACCATATAATTTTGAAATATCTAGAGCTTCTCATCTATATGTACATAAGGAGAAACTACAGTGGGGAACTGGTATACATTCTCAGAAAACAGCACTTCAGAGAAAACATGCCAGGCGGATACAGAGCCTAGTGAGTATTATGTGTAATCAACTACACATTTCAAAGTTACACTTTTTGAAAAGCAGTAACTTGGAACTTTTGAAATGCAATAGAACGGAATGTTGGCAAACTTCCTTAGAGACCAGAAATTGCTTTGCTTCTTAGTTTTTCTCAGAAACAAAACCCACCAAAAGTGTTTGTTATTCAGTTCTTATACTCTGCTAACAAACCCTCCTGTCCCCTTGGGGACAGGACACAGGGCTGCGCAGCCCAGCTGCAACCCCAGCCCTTTCACAGCACAGTTAAGGCGCCATTCTCACATGGTATAACCTCATTTACTACTTGAGTTCCAGTGTGGTTTAAGCAATGTAATTTAATTAAGTTCATCCTTGTCTAGTTATAGTATAAGATGTGCTGTAACAACTTGAGGCTCCCAAGTATCGGGAAAACCACAGTCGTCTGTAAGAATGTACAAATTAAAAAGGGATAGTTTGAAGATGACATTGCATTTTGGCAGATCTTTGAGCAGACAGGAAACACCACCTGGAGGGACACCGCAGAGGACTTTCCCCATCTCCTGCTATCTTCTAGCCAGCATTCCTCTCAAGGCCCATGCGCCTGTGCCTTAGTGAGGCCCACAAGGCACAATTCCTGGTTAAGGCTGAAGCCCAAAGTTTCATTTCTGAAGTTTCGTGTTTTTGAGTCCCAGATTTCAGAAACAAGTAGTGCCTTCCTTGTTTTCGTTCACACAGCACTTCTCTTACATGGAGGATCCACCCACCGCTTCTCGGCATCTCTATCACAAAAACTTTGGACCGAGATGCAGAGTGGCTCCAGGAAAGCGCATGCCACTCTTCAGCACGGGGTGAAATACATTCCCCGAGGGAAAGAGAAGAGGTACACGTGATAAGTCTTAGCGGGCGCCTGTACCCGGGTTCTCGGGAATACGAGGACATTCTATCTTTCATGATTTACAATATTTTCTGCACCTTGACTCCAAATTAAATTAGAAAACCCGTGTCTGGTATTCAAACTCATCCTAACCACATTTTACAGAGAAAAGGAGACTATTTAAGAGTGAAAGATTATGTTCAAAAAAAGCAGAGCCACAGTTTCTCAAAGTTGTGAATGAAGGGAATCCTTTGAGGTATGTATTCGCCAATTCTCAAAAGTCTCAGACTAGCAATTAACGGTGCGGTGGCCTAAAACGTTCCCAGGGGTGTCTTGTCTCAGGCTACTAGTTCAGCTCACGGGTCCCAGGCCTGAGACAGGTAGCATTTCCTAAGCAGGAAATCCGTTACATCGGTAAAAAAACGAACAGGGGCAAGAGAGGAGAGAACTCTAGACGTAGCACAGGTCAAGTGCAAGGGGTGCGCACTGGACTTGGAGGTGCGCCAAGGAGTCCGGGTTCACGTGGCCAGTGCGAGGACCTGTGTCGCGCGGGTTCGCTCCCATTGGACACGCGGCGTGGCCGCCCAAATGCCCGGAGCTGCGGAGCGCGGGGCTGGTGTGCTGCTTACCTTGAAGACTGATGGGGCTGTGCGGAGAAGCGCCGGGCTGCCCTGCGATGCACCGGGTGGCGCCGAGATGCGCGAGGCCGCTCTGAAGTGCACCCGGCAGAGCTGAGCGGAGACGCGCGCGCTTGTCTTCTCTGGGCTGGGACCGCCTGGAGGCCAGGACGCGGGCTCGAGGAGGAAGTGCTATGAGTCCCTCCCGCGCAGACTCCTGGCTTTGCACCAAAGTTCTTGCAGAGCCTTGACAGCAGACTCAAAGCTCCGCCTCTGGAACTCCGCAAGTTTGGCAAGTTTGGACGGCTTTTTCAAGCCCGTGTCCCCCACCTTGAAAAAAAAACACCCCCCTCAAGGTTAAGAGAAAGCCTCTCCTTTTCTCACCCAAGTGGGTCTTTGTGTTCTCCATTAGATAAGGACTAAGATTAAGCCCAGATGCTCGTCTGAGGACTTAACGACAGAAGTTTCAGGCGAGCTGAGAAACTCCCTACAAGGGAGTTCACGGGTTGATAACACCTACAAGCAGTTAGGGGCTGGGACATTTCTGAGGTGGTCAACGCCAACCCCGTTGTATTGACAACTTTGAGACTTCAGGGGAAGAGATGTGAAGATGGAAGCGTCCACCTCAAAAGTTCCTCTTTTTGCCCTGTAAGCCCCCTGAGCTTCTGCGCAGTCTCCACTTCCCCCAAGACTGCCGGTCCTCATTGTTCTACCAAAAGGACGCTGCTTCTGTTGAGGTTGGTCTCCTGTTTCTTTTATTTTCACACAACGTGGATCAATTCTGATCTATTAGTTCCACAAAAGATAAAGAGGACAGTTTATTTTGCAACAGCCCCTGCAGCCCTTGCTGCACTTCCTCTATCCAGCCTTTGTGCAAGACTTCCTGGGCCAGCGTGGTAGGGTGGACAGAGGAGTGGCCCAGGGGGCTGGCTGGGAGCACCAGAATGTCTGTTGCTGGAGGTGGGGGTGGAAGAAGGGCTCTGCAGGCGTCTATTCTCAGCCATCTCCTTGGCAATTCCTCTGATGTAAAATGTGCAGAACCTCCGTAGATTTTTATTTTTATTTTTAGACAGGATGTCACTGTCTAACACTGGCTGACCTGAAACTTGCAATGTACATTAGTCTGGCTTTGAACATACAGAGATCCTCCTGCCTCTGTCTCCTGAATACTGGGATTAAAGTATTCATGCCCAGCTTCCGGGTTTTGTTCTTTGTTTGTTTTTGTTTGTCTATAGTTTGTATAACATTGGATTGACTGGTACTCACTTCTGAGACAAAGTGTTTGGGGAGATTTGAAAACACAGACACTAAAATCAGTTATGATTTGAAATGGTGATTGAATTACTCTCTCTTTCTCTACATTGCTGTGTCTTTAAGGGTTTGTTATAGAGCAAAGTGGTGGAAACATGAAGACATAGGTAAGGCACACAAATTAATTTCAGATAGCTCCTGTATTCAATGGGAAATTGTATATTGAGTATCTAAGGACATTGTAAGTGTTGAGAAGAATCGCTGCTTTGCTAGATGCACACTTGGCAGAAAATAGTCAATGCGCTTATTTAGCATGCTGAGTAATGGGTTTTGAGGAAATAAATGACGAAGGATAGTGTAGTAGTAGGCCACTTGTTGGTCCCGGCTGCCCAGAACCAAACTAATCACACAGAAATTGTATTAATTAAATCACTGCTTGGCCCATTAGCTCTATCTTCTTACTGACTAACTCTAACATCTTAATTTAACCCATTTCTATTAATCTGTGTGTCACCACGAGGTCGTGGCCTATCAGCAAAGTTTCAGCACATCTATCTCTGGCAGTTTCTTTATTCATTAACCAATAAAAGCAACACATAAACAAATGGACCTCCTTCTGAACTTCCTTCTACGGACATCCTCAGAAGAGGAAAAATGATCAGAGAGGTTTTTTTTTTTTTTTTTTGGCAGCGAGAAGATAAGGACCAAAGCATTCCAAGAAAAGACCAAAGGAATACATTGTGTCAAGAAAAGACCAAAGGAATACATTGTGTCAAGAAAAGACCAATGGAATACATTGTGTCAAGAAGAGATGATTAGGAAGACTTCAAGGCTAGAGTGGAGTGGAAGAGGCAGGCAATGGTGGAGGATGAGAAGAGAGTGTGAGCAGGAGCCAGATCAAGCAGGACCTTGTGGTCAGTGTGGATGACTTTGGGTTGTATTGTGACTGCAATGGACAGCTAGGAGAAGGGAGATAGCAGCCAGGTGCTGGATTGATTGTGCTAGAAAACATCATACAGACCAGTGAGTTCTTGGAAAACAGTTGAATGGGAGGCAGAGGTGAGAGATAGAAGAGAGGGAGGGAGGAAGGAGGGAGAGAGAATGTGGATAGATTTAAATTAATTTTCTTCTTACTGGTTTCTGGCAGCAGTTCAGATGAAATGATTAAAAACGATGGTAGCTAAACCCAATGTACAGATTTAACCCTATAACCCCAGTACTTGGGAGGTTAAGGGAGTAGGGTTGTAGGTTCAAGAGTAGTCTGGAGTACATAAGACTTTATCTCAGAAAGAAATACAAATATCAACATTAAAATAATAGTAGTTTATTTGAATAGTATCCTAACGGCAGGAATTATGATTTGCTGATGGGCTCAGGGCAGAGGTTGGGGAATGCCAGAGGGGTTAGAAACTGTGATGGAGTCACTATCGACTCTGGGACTAGGCCAGAGGTCAGGCTACATAGAAAGGTCAGTAGGAAGCACTTAAGTAAGCCAAGACAAAGCTTTGTCTTCAAATACTAAGAATAACAAAAATATGTTAAACAAGACTTGAAGCTGCAGATTGGAGGATTGTGTTCTAGAGAGAAATCACCCTGGCTATCACAAGGAAACTGCTAACATGAAGAGAAGAATGGATACGGGAAGATTTCCAAGAAAGTTGGGAAAGAAATGATAATGGCTTTGTTTGTTTGGTAGCCATGGAGACACAAAGAAATGGGTGCATCAGGAAGCTATTTACAGACTCTGCTGGCCGGAGTCCGTGGTAGCTGGACATGAGCAGAGTGAGGGGGAAGGATGAGGTATGATCCTGGAAAGATGCTCCTAGTACGATGGCTGATAGATGCCAGGTAAGGAAATCTGGAGAGGACTCTTTCGTCAGGAGAAGGTAATAACATTTATTTTGAGCAAGTCAAGTTTGGTAAGCCTGTAGCACAGCTATGTGGAAACATAGCTGTACCAAAGAGGAAAAACTATTGATAGACTGTTGAAGGGAGCATAGGGCCCCTTTGTTCCATCTTGCCCAGATAGCTTAATCACACTGCCTGAACTAATCATACAGAAATTGTATTAATTAAATTACTGCTTGGCCCATAAGCTCTAGCCTCTTATGGGCTAACTCTCACATCTTGATTCAACCCATTTCTAATAATCTGTTTGTCACCATGAGATCATAGCTTACCAGGAAAGATTCAGCATGTCTGACCTGGCAAGCTTCATGGCGGCTCTCTGCTTCCTTCCTCCCAGAATTAAGTTCTGTCTCCCCACCTACCTAAGTGCTGCCCTATCAAAAGACCAAGGCAGTTTCTTTATTCAACCAATGAAAGCAGCACATAGACAGAAGAACCTCCTACACCAATATATTGAACACATACAAATCTCCATTATGCTGAAAGGTGCTGTACTATAAAACAGAAAACATTTCAATATTATGTCATCATATAAATTTCTTAAAACTCAACCTTATTGTGTGAAGAATGGGCAGACAGGAAGAGCTCTGGAGGGGCTAGGGAGAGGTAGAAGTGGTGAACTTGTGTTCAGTGGTGACTTTGGTGGATGTGTGTGTATCAGAATTGGGAAAATCACACATTTGGAATAATTGCAGCTTCCTGTGTGTCATTTACACCTTAATACGATTGTGAAAATTTATTTTCTTCTTGTCTTCTCTTCTTCCTCCTCCTCTTTTTTTAAAATTTATTCATTTGTTTCTTTTCTTTTCTTTTTCTTTTTCTTTGGTGATCTAGGGACTAACCTCAGGGCCTCACACTGCATACACTACCACTGAGCTACACCCTGGCTTCAAGAATTGGAATGTACCTTGGAAACTCTTCCCTAGTTTACTTTAGTTGACCTTCCATTGCCCTTTACTCTTTGTTCTCTTTCTCTCTCTTTGCTTTTCATTTTATCTTCCCCTACTCTCTTGTCTTGTTTCCTTCCAGTCTTGGCTTTGATTGCAAAGGAATCTGTTCAAAATGGAAAATTCCATATGAACAATTTCTGACCCAGGGAAACTTGTGCTGTCATTTTCAAATTTGCCATCAATGTTGTAAGTGCCATCAAGGCCTAGTGTAGTCATCTGACAAGCAGAATTGCTAAGGCTTGCCAAACATAACCTGTGATCCAGGTATTCAGGAGACTGAGACAGGGTAGGAGTTCAAGGTGAGCTGGATTTACCCAGTGAAACCCTGCTTCAAAACTAAACAAACAACAACAGCAAAAAGAAAACTTCATAAAAGTCAAAAGAACAATTTATAGCTTGAGTAAAAGAATAAAATAATTAATTACTGAATTTTTAATTAGAAGCATATGAAAATCTCCTCTCCTTTTAGGTTGTAATTTGTTTTTCCCTAAGATAAAAAACAAATTGTCATTCTCTCCTGGCACTATGCTCACATTAGTCAACAAAATGGTATTTGATAAAATCATTTCCCACTAACAGCTTCCCATTATTTCAGCTTTCTTCTTATCTCAATTCTAAGATACTTTTCATTGTCATTTAAAAGGAAATTTTATCTGACTTTTTCCTAGCTCTTGCTTCAGGCTGGTATGATTGTCTGCCATTCAAATCGCAGGGTGCGGTTCTCAGTGAATCTCTGTGGGCAGGGCTACAAAGTGCTGGACTGGGCAGAGCAAGCAGGCAGGCTTCATTTGCCCCAGCAAGGTTGCCACTTAGTTTTTAAAGAAGTACTTAGCATTTTAAGAAGCTGTCCTGGTTGGAAATAGATTACAGATATGAAATAAAGACAAATCCAGATTAAAAAAAAGACCTCTATATGGGTCATAGTGTTGGATAAATGTACATAGGGTTGGGAGAGAGAAGAAAAAGTGTAGAGAGAGTTGGAAAAGGAGTAAATCGTTTAAAAAATAAAATAAAGTCTTTAAAGAAACAGAGTACAGACAGTCAGAGATTAAAAGGAGTAAAAATAAAAGCCACCTAAAGATGGACTATACACAGAGAGTCTGGATTATGTATATTATTGTGTTTTCTTTGAATGTTTTTGACTGCAGAGGGACATTTGATTCTGGGAACTGTTAAGCTAAGCCAACATACATACTTTAAAGGTATCTTGATTTCAAAATATGGGTCTAAGGATATGTTGTTTTGAAAAAGAGGTTCTTCTTTTGTTTCCACAGAGGATGAGAACCTGTGGAATTCTTCCAGACTAATGTGGTTTGATGGACTAGGACCTCTGAAAGGTTGCCATGAACATCCCCCCAAAAGACTTTGCCCAACAAAAATCAGGAAGCAGTGTGAAGAGAACTATGCTCAAATTCCCTAAGTGATTGTTTATAAATGTTTGTTTACATTTAAAGGGGGATACACTATAGAGATTTGCATTGGTATGGATTTTGGTTTATTGGTACAAATTTAAGGTCAATTTTGCTAAACTGTGTATATGTAGTTCTGATCTTGATTAAGGTATTATATTTATTCAGATCATTTAAATATATAATGTATAATTAAGAAATATAAGTTAATAGATAGTCATCTATAGTAGTCAAGCTTGTAGTCATGTTAGTTAGATTACCTAGATGTATAGAGATATATTTCAGGTGAATAGGCATTCTTCAAACTTTTCAAAGACAACAGAATATGGCATTTAAAATGTTTAAGAACTTAGGACTTTTCATGACAGTGAGACACATCTGCTCCTGGCAGCACCAATCTACGTCAAGAGGATAATGGTCATTGAAGAAGCTCCTCATGGAGTTTCCTAGCTATTTGGGCAAAAAACTGCTTTTGCCTGGACTGCTTGATGAACTGGACATGCAGGACCTGCAGAAAAATGACTGCTAAACTTGCCTAAATGTGAGATGATCCTTTGGGGTTCCTGCTTCATGAAAGAGACTTCTAGACATTCTGCAGGACACAGAAGAAAGTGAGTGACAAACTGCCAATATAGGTGGAACTGTCTTTGAAATTTCCTGCTTCATGGAAAAATCTGCTGGATACTATGGTCCTGTAGACTGAAAATGGATGCTCCAAAGGGACAAAAGAACTTTGGGTGATTATCCAAAGGCAGCAAAAAGGCATCAAGATGTCTCTGTCAATTCTAGTGTTTTAGAAGTTCTTACAATGAACTTATTGTTTACTTAGGTAATATTCTATCCTTCTGGAGTCTTTGATTGAGTTAAAGAATGTATAGTTTTAGTTTTCCTTAGTTATGATAAAAGATAAAATATATAACTATTTTATGTCATTTTACTGTGTTAAATTAAAACCTTCCTTTTTATTTGAACAGAAAAGAGAAGGTGATGTGGGATTCCCCTCTGTATGCTGTGAATACCATTAGTTAATAAAGAAACTGGCTTGGCCTGATAGGGTAGAATAGAGTTAGGCAATGAAAACTAAACTGAATGCTGGGAGAAGGAAGGCATAGTTAGGAGAAGCCGTGGAGCCACCACTGGAGACAGAAGTGCTGAAACTTTGCTGGTAGGCCACGACCTCGTGGCATTACACAGATTAAGAGAAATGGGCTCAATTAATATGTAAGAGTTATCCAATAAGAAGCTAGAGCTAATGGGCCAAGCACTGATATAATTAATACAGTTTCTGTGTGGTTATTTTGGGAGTCTGGGCAGCTAGGAAACAAACAAGCGGCCTTCTTACTCATTCCCCTTGTTACATTCTGGGCACAGTAGGTGACTGTACTGTCCAGATGTGGAGCATGGAGGACGTTGCTCCCTCCATGGAAGTCGGATGGGAATCTAGGTACTTGTCCTCTGGAGTGACAATCTTGTCCTTGTAGTCTCAGCCAAAAGCTAAGCAAAACCAGGTCTCTTCTCTATTCCCGTTCTCTCTTGGCCTTTTCCTTTACTCAAACTTTAACACACAGGTGGGAAAGCAGAATTCTGCTCAAATTGCATAGAATTTCACATATGTTTTCTACATTTTACATGGCTCACACCCATTAGTCATTTTCTTCTGCAACACGGAATCTTGAGTAATGTGCCCAGTTAGAGGGATTTGCATTGCAGACTCCTCAGTGGGGCCTCCAATTGTACCACCCGATTCTGCATCACCCTCTCGGTACAGTTCGCGCACAACTGCACCTTCCTCTTGTGAGTCCGGGTAAAGGCCCGGAGATTGAACAAAAGACACACACACAAAGAGACCTGGGTCATTCGTCAAGAGATAGCCAAATGCCACTTTATTAAGCTTATTCCAAAGCTAATATACCTTGGCCCCAGTAAAGGAATTCCCGGGGGGGGGGGAGGACGAGGGGAACTGGTGCCATGTGGGAACTCCTTCCCAGGCAGGGGGTTAGGGGCAGAGAGCAGCGACAGACAGTGGGTCTGTGTGGGAACTCTCCAGGGCAGGTGGAAAATTACCATACCAAAGGTGAAACAAAGCCCTTCAGCTAAATCACCAGGCTATAACAGAGATAACAGAAACTAGCTGGAGCTTAGCTGGCTGACCAAAACAGTCCTCCAGACTCACCCCAGGGAGTAAGGGGGGGCCCTACAGGTCATGGCTGTGGTAATAATTTTGGTCCATGAGAATGAAGCGAATGCATCGTTTAGAACTGTAGAATGACTCCTTCCTGATGTTAGGAGTGTGGATCCAGTTACTGCTCTCTTCCACCATAAGATGCTCCTGGGTTCAGAAGATGGATAAGAAGATATTGGAGGAGCGAACTAGGGAAAGTCTGGGGTTTGAGAGCACTGTACGATGAGTGTTTTACATCTCAAGGCTGTTTTCTTTGAGATAGTCTCTGAGGGAATAACCCTTGTGCAATTAAGTCCCTCGTGTCATATCTCTGTCATAATCTTCTCCATGGAGCTCAGTTTCTGAGTTTCTGAAGTTTAGGAAACAGGAATTTGTGTTGCGAAGTGGGTGGCTCATTGGGTGAATCATTTGCTGCACAGGATGGAGTAGCAGATTCCAGGTTCCCCAGAACCCACATCAAGCAGTATGCAGTAGTGTACATTTATAATTTCCGCATGCCTGAGGTGGTGTGGGAGGCATGGACAGAAGAGTCCCTGGATCTCACAGCCCAGTCCGTTGTCCATGTGTAGGCAGTGGTGAGCAGCGAGGGATCCTGCCTCAAGCAAGGTGGATGGAGAGAACTGACGTCCGAAGTTGTCCCCTGACCTTCACAGATGTTCTGTGGTACTTGAGTGTCTACATTCACACAGACCCACACAGACAGACAGACAGACAGACACACACACACACACACACACAGACTCACACACAGACTCACACACACAGATACACACAGACAGACATACACACATATCTACACACACAAAAACATACACACAGACAGACACACACACAGACATACACGCACATATCTACACACACACACATATACAAAGACAAGCACACACACAGATACACACATACACAGAGAGACACACAGATACATATCTACACACACACAGTTGGGGGAAGAAAGGTGGAAAGAAAGAAACAGCAAGAGAGAGACAGACACATAAAGAGACAGAGAAGAACTCAACTTCTCTGTTTTCTTTTTATATGTGATTACAGATAATTTCTATCTGACATTTCAGTCCTGACTTCTGAGGCTTTCGAGAAGAAGACAAGGGCATGCCATTTAGGTTCCCACATTTCCTGGGACAACTTTACTATGCAAGCCTAGTGCTCCCAGCAGGCTGTCTGTGCTGAGCAGTGGTATAGATCAGGGAAGAGCCTCCAGACAGGAGGATGTGTATGTGAAGGGAGAAGGATTTCCATTCATTCTGGCAACTACTAACTTGATAGCCCCTCCATGCACTTCTGCCAGAACCGCCACACTGTAGTTCACAGTCTGGTCTAACCAGTCACATTTGTTTTAGCTATATTGTTAATTGGTGTATGGTAATCAGCATTTCTCCCCGGGACAAGATACTTGAGAACATCCATTTACAGAAGTGAAGGAGCAAAGGAGAGAAGGAGAGGAATGAACTAGTGCAGAGTGCAGGAAAGATGCTGCCCCTGATGTCTGGGAAGGAAAAAGAGGGAGAGTGGAGAGAAAGGGAGAGGACAGAAGATCCAAACTGCAGAACAGTTGGGAGAAGGGGAGTAGGGAAAGAAGAGGACAAAGGAGGTGGGGATCAATGACCTAAATTCTTCTAGGCCTTACCTCTTAAATGATCCCAGTACCACTGGTTGGGGAGCTACACCTTTAACACATAGACCTTGAGATACCTATCTATTAGAGTGTACAGTGAAGCTAAAGTCTCACTCATTCAGGTATTTACACATTTTATATGCTTTATAAAGTATGTTAATATATAAACACACATTATATACATATTTCACACACACAATATTTATATTGTTCACACATATGCATGTGTGTATCAGAGGAGAACTTGTGGGAGTTGCTTTTCTTCTTCCATCATGTAAATTCCAGTAATCAAACTCAAGTCAAAAGGCTTAGCCACAACTTTTACCAGCTGAGCCATCTTGTTGGCTCACATTTATATGGTTATGTAGATGTAGAAAATTGTTTTATTTATATCCCCAAATTAAGTGTTATTTCTCTTCAGAGCAATTGATTTTGTTACTCATGAAAGACCTCCTCTTTAATAAATCCTTTTAGTCAACATTTCCTCAAGTGAATGAACGACAAAATAAATGTTGTCGTCTAGGCCCTCAGACCGGAAGCTGTTTCTGTAAACCTTTCTCTAGAATGATTTACTTTAAAAACTAAAAAGGAAGTCATTAGGCAGAAATTAGGCAAAGCAATGCTAGAGCACTGCTTTTATACTTTCGTATTTAGCTATATAGTCACTCTGAAGATGAGCTAAGAAAATCTGCTTAAGGCACTTAGAAGTAATCCAAGACATTGCTAAATAGTGTTTCCCTCAACATACAATTGAGTCTTTTTTCATCAGTAGCTTGTTTTTTTTATTGCTTTATAAATAATACCGTTCAAAATTTCCACTTCCTCCCCTCCTCCCATTTCCCTTCTGCTCCCCTTATCACCTTCCACTTCCACCTCCAGTCCTAAGAGAGTGCAGGGTGCCCTGCCCTATGGGAAGTCTAAGGCCCTCCCCACTCCATCCAGGCTTAGGAAGGTTTGCATCCAAATAGACTAGGTTCCCAAAAAGCCAGTACATGCAATAGAGACACATCCCAGTGCCATTATCAATGGCTTCCCAGTCTGCCCCAATTGTCATCCACATTCAGAGAGTCCAGTTTGGTCCCATGCTCGTCTTTTATA